CAGTTCTGCTGCAGCAGGAGAATGACCATGGAGAGGAGTCAGTCAGCATTGGGAGCGTGGCTGGAGGCGGTCGCTATGATGGCCTGGTGGGAATGTTTGATCCCAAGGGACGGAAGGTGCCGTGTGTGGGGGTCAGCATTGGGATTGAGCGGATCTTCTCCATCCTTGAGCACAGAATGAAGGTAGGTGCTGCTGGCAGTGTTTTGTATGGGGGAGGGCTCTCAGAAGTAGTTATTTGTAACTTGAGCTCCACAGTGTTGAGGAGGGAAGAATTTTGGAGGTGAGGATGAGTCATCTCAAGCCTAAACATCCATGCAGAACATAGATTCCATCAGGTTACAGTTGTGAGCAGCATTTTGTACAATCACTAAAGAGGTTTCAGAGAAAGCCCCTTAGTTATTTTTAGGTCTAGTGTGATGAAATAAGTGAGCTGCTGCTACTAGATGAGCTGCTAGCCTGCTGACACAGGCGCTTCCATGAACATGTCTGTCTCCACAGGCTTCAGGGGAGAAAGTCCGAATGACTGAGACACAAGTGATGGTGGCTACACCTCAGAAACATTTACTCAGTGCAAGACTGAAGCTCATCTCTGAGCTCTGGGATGCAGGAATCAAGGTAAAATCAGGGTGTGGGCTTGGTGCTGGAAGGAGTCAGGGAGGGAAAGCCTCAGTGAAGTTTTAGCAGAGCCTGACTCTGCTGGCTGGCTGTGCAGCATCAGGGTCTGCATGAGATCCAGAGACCCAAGAGCACTAAAGGCAACTGCTGGCTGCAGGAGCAGTGAGATTTCTGTGGAGTTGTAGTGCCTGCTGTTTTGTTCCAAGAGCCAATTTGCACTGATGATTCGCCACTGCTTCCTTCTAGGCAGAAATGATGTACAGAAAGGACCCTAAACTGCTAAAACAGCTGCAGTATTGCGAAGACATGGGCATCCCCCTTGTTGCCATTATAGGAGAGCAGGAGCTGAGGGATGGAGTTGTCAAGTTGCGAGATGTTGCAACAAGAGAGGAGGTGAGAATGTCTCTACAGCAAGTTTCAGAGGTGTTCCCAAAATCCAGCTGCTCCCAAAAGGCTCTGGGTTTTCCTGGAATTCCAGTGGAGAGCTGTATTGTGGATCTGGCAGATAACTGCTCCTTTCTGCTTGCTTTGTAGGTTGATATCCCAAGAGAACAGCTTGCTGCTGAGATCAGAAGAAGGCTGGTGCCCTAGCACTTTCCTGTCCTGAGCTGCACAACTGGAAACCCCACTGCCCATAGCCATTACCTTCCTGCTCCTCAAAATCCCGTGATTAGGATTGCGTGGCAGTCTCAGGCCATGGCAGCGGGCAGAAGGAGCAAGCAGGTTTTAAAAATCACGTGTAGTGCCATACCTTGGTTAACGGCTGCTGGCCAGGCTGAGCTTCTGTGCCCTGAACCAGCATGATGTGAGGCTGAGCAGGGGGTCAGTGCTGGCGGACGAGGTGGCACAGCGAGGGCAGGCAGCCACGTGGCACAGCAGATACAGCCAGTGAAAGCCGAGCCCCTGCTTGCCTCGGGGCAGGGCTGGCTGCGCACGGCAGCACCTCTCGCCTTACGGACGGGGCTGTGCTGCTGCTGGGAAGCTGCAACGCGGCCTGTGAGCGCTGTGAGGAGCCGGCCGCGCTGTGCAGCCAGGCGGGGCTGCGGGCAGCCGAGGGCCGCTGATGGTGACCGCCGGCGTGGGGTCGGGTGAGACCTGACCCTCAGCGCCGGGAGCACGGGGCTGCGGTGCTCCTATAGGGGGTGGGCGGCTGGAACCTCGTTGTATGTTAGGAAATAAAACAGAAA